ATTGTTCAAAACTTCATGAAACATGGTTTTGAAGCAGTCTTTTGGTTGGGACTTGGTTGAGGGGAGAGTGTGGGGTCGGATCAAAAGAACATCACTTCCGGGGTCAAAGGTAAAAAAAACATTTTCTCCAAAAACACTGGAAACTTCATAAAACATGGTTTGGGAGGGGTGTTGAGGGTGGATGGTGGTTGGAGGGGGTCGGGGTCAAGGGTCAAAGGTCAAAAAAACATTTTCTCCAAAAACACTCGAATCTTCATAAAATATGGTTTTGGAGGGGTGTTGAGGGGGGATGTTGGCAGGTTGGGTGAGGGGGGGTTAGGGTCAAGGGTCAAAAAAACATTTTTCTGGAAATGTGCAAAACTTGATAAAACATCGTTTGGAAGGGATTTCGAGATCAGTAGTTGATCTACACGGTATTGGAGACCTCGAGGCTTTGTAGGAAAATATCAAGCGCTGATGGATACCGAAAAGAGATCGCTCGGCCACCTGATTGAGGACCCAAAGATGTCAGGAACAGCTTTGGCAGGCGTTGGTACTCAATCAAATAGTGGCAGACTTCGCTTTATGCAGTAAAAAGGGAAAAAGCCAAAAGCACCTTCTTTGTAAAAGAGGGTGTGGGTGAGGGTTGTGATCATACAAAGTATATCTAGAGAAGTGGAAAGTAACATTTAGCCTGAGGTACCGTGCATGGCTTCAAGAACAACAGAGCGTTTTGCAGAAGTGCGTGCAGCAGAGGAACTATGAGTCCAGAGAAGTAATCAACGATGAATAGAAGCGAACAATACGCGTCATGGAAGGTGAGCTCTCGAAAATATTTGTATTAGTGACACATGCAAAGCCAATAATGTAAGAACGAAAGAAAGGTAGCTATGAAGTAGCTCTGTATATTCATGAGTGCAGCAGCGAAAGCGATGAGTGTTGATCTGAAAGATCGACACTCATCGCTTCAACTATAATTCTTCATCTGTAACGACAGTAGCTCCCTCCGGCTAACGTTTCTGAAAGCCTAAAATGGTAAACTAGTGTAAAAGATTTGATCTATCGAGTTAGCATATTACAGCATTCTTTGCCTTGTTTCTCATGAAAATCAAAAACATTTACGGGAAGCAGATTTCTTAGGAGAGAAAAATGAAACGATGAGAAGTCATATTACCCACATGTACAAATAGATTGTAAATATCTTAGCATTGAAACCGACATATCTGTAACGGAAGAGGATAATA